TTTATATTTGTATTTTATTGGTTGAATTTACTTGGAAATATAGATTAAATCAAAATTTGAAAAATGAAAAGATGTTGGTTCGGGACGAACCAATGTTTTTCTTGTGTTTAAGAATCCGTGAGCTCAGCTCATGAGCTCAAAACCTACCCAGTCTTATTTTATTGGATAGTGGGAGTGATGATAATTTTGTTTTAACAAAGTTTATTGAGAAGCCATGGCCGTGGTGATACAAAGAGTTCTTCCATGCATAGTGGAAGGTGCAATTACTCCTAATTAACATTTCAATGTTTGTGTAGACGGGCTGGAAGTGTTAGTTGGCAAAATCATATATATTAAAACTTTTTATCTAGCATATCTATGATATGGATCTCATTCTTGGGATGTCATAGTTGGCAAAGATGGATCCAAAGATAAAATGAAATATTAAGCATATCTCGCTAAAGTATGATAGCATAAAAAATATATGGTTTAGAAAGGGTTGTTTAGCCTCCAATTGTTATGCCTCCACTACATCCTTTGAAGTGTGTTAGTTATAATGGAAAAACACTTTCAAGTTACTTACTGTTTGTTCGTGACTTAGGGCACTAAGGCACGTATGAGGGAGAGGCAGCCATTCAAGATACTCAAGGACTTTTCTAATGCTATATAGAGGAGTAAGAAATTTAATGACAAGTCAAAGAGTTATTTAAATTTGGATTCATTTAGCCAAGTAAGTCTTGGTTTGGTGCCCTAGTCTTGCTTGTTGAAGGATGGTTCAATACAGATATATATTGACTACTATACCTTGAGTATCTATAAGGTTTAAATATAAAGGGAAAAAACCCATAAACAAGACATTTTTTGAACGGATAAGGGTCTTGGGATAGTTAAAGTTAAACTTCTTTGAGTTTGAATAGTATTGAGTTAGGTGACCTATTGGGAAGTTCAAATTCAGGAATTTATATTTGGTATAATAACAGTGCAGAGGAGTTTTTTTTTAATGTTTTTCCATTTAAACTTCCTCATAAGTTGCCTCCATTACGAGGTGTGGAGCATGAGATTACATTAGAGATATATGAACTATTATACATTGAACAAGAAGACAATGAAAGATAAAATGCCTATGCCATATGTGGATGATATCTTAAATAAGCTTGGTAAAGTAGAAGTGTTTACCAAGATTAATCTAAGGAGTGGATATCTTCAGATTGCAATGGATAACACATTTATTTCCAAGACGACAATTAATATGAGTTTCAGGCATATTGAGTTCACAATCATACTATTTGGTTTGACAAATGCACCAACCACATTTACTTAGTTGATGATGGAAGTGTTTGGAGTTTATGGAAATTTTCTTGAATGATATTCTTGTTTTCAGCAAAAATATGAAGGATAAAGTTCTCTCGTTACTACCTAATAACAAACTTTATGTAAAGAAGAGTAAATATGAATTTGTAAAGAGTTATGCAATTTTCTTGGTATCGTTAGTTATTACTCACACTTTTAGTACAAGTTTGTGAAGGTGGCTATTGTTTTGACATAGTTGTTGTGTAAGAATGTGCCATTCAAGTGGAAAAAGTCACATGCAAATAATTTTGTGGCATTGAAACAATTGTTAAGTGAAGCTCTAATGCTTTGCATTGTTAATCCATCAAAACCTTATAACGTGATATGCAATGTAAATGGTTATACATTAAAAGGAGTTTTCATTCAAGACGGACAACCTATTGTATATGAGAGTTGGACTTTGAATCCTATGGAATAAAGATATTCCACATATAAGTAAAAGTTACTTTTCACTATTCATGCTTTATAAATATGCAGGCATTATCTTTATGGTGTAATGTTCATTGTGTTAATAGATCACAAACTTCTTATATATCTCTTCACATAGAAAGAGTTAAACACTATGCAAGCTTGTTAAATGGTCAAACTCATAGAGTTTAAAGAATTCCTTATTGAGCATCATTCGGGAAAATAAAATATGGTGGCCAATGCTTTATCTTGTGTTCAAAATATGATGAAGTTACAAACATGGTTTTGCTATCATTTGTGTAAAGTGGTTAGTGAGTTAGAGCAATTGGTTTAGCATGCTCAAGCTCAAGATATTGAGGTAGTCTCTTTATGAGTTTAGCTAAAAGCACCTTTCTCATTAGTGGATAGAATTCTTTACTACAATGACTATATATATTTGACACGGCTGGATGTGTTGATTCATCATATTTTATTCCACTATCATTATCATTCGAAGGATAATCATTTTAGAGGGATGAAGACATATGAGTTGATTATGTGCAATTTTTATTGGAAGAGTATGAAAGTTGATATTCTTTAGTATTGTAAATCATGCAAGCTCTATCAGTGGGTAAAGCTGCCATAGGAGAAGTCAAAGGGAGTTTGACAACCTTTGCCTATTTCTTAGAGGTATTGGTGTAATATTCTTATGGAATTTATCACTTGCTTACTACGAATACAAAGGCAAAAAAAGTAAGTATAGATTATAATGGATCAATTGACAAAGTATGTGCAATTATTGGCATTTCAGAAGATCATCATTGTCGCAATTTACTTAGAGGACTTTCCTGATTTTGGTTTGCCGGAGGATATCATTAGTGATCAAGACTCAAAGTTCACTAATGAATTTTAGAAAAGCTTTGCAAAAGTTATGCAAGTGAATTTGAAGCTCTTGAGTGGAAATCATCCTTAGACAAATGGGCAAATTAAGCATGTAACTCAAATAGTGGAGGATATGTTATGTTGTAACATTGATTAAAGGCAAGGACAATGGGATTTATATATTTTATTAGTGCAATTTGCCTACAACAATATCCAACACAATGGAACTAAATTAAGTCCTTATTTTGCATATTTGGAAAACATCTCAAAACAACATTGGAGTTGAGAGTGGTATTAGAAAGACTATCACTGCTTCAAGACTTGATTGTAGTCTACTTGGAAATTATCTTTCCTGATTTTGGTTTGCTAGAGGTGGTCAAAAGCAGGGATAAAGGAATTTATATATTCTATTAGTGCAATTTGCCTACAATAATAGTCAACATAGTGAAACCAAATTAAATCCTTACTTTGCTATGTTTGGAAGGCATCTTTGAACATCATTGGAGTTGAGTTTGCATTTGAGCAAGGATGTTCAAGACATGTTTAATTAAGTCATTGACAAAGTCAATGAGAAAGTTACATCTCAAGATCAATCAGCAAAAGAAAGCATAGCACTGTTTCTCTCAACCCTGTAAAGGTTCTTTAAGGATGATAGCCATACTATTGATATTCTTGGTTGTTCTATTTGCTCCCGGCCATGTCCACTCCAAGTATATAGCAGGCGAGCTATGCTGGCCAGACGCACAGACCTGGGCATCCTTCAATTGCTCCATGGGAGGGAGAATGATCAGTGTGGCCTCTCCAGCATTGCCATGCCATGATCCAAACTACGACGAGCAAGCCTGCAACACCGTGAGGAGGCAACTGGAACAGTCCATTCTGGAGGACTGATCAACTGAGTGCACTGCAACGGACAAGCTGGGAATTGTTTGGGGAGCAGCGCTGCCTGATCTCCTCCAACAGGACCACTGCTTGCTTCCAGGGCGCGGTCCCAATCTATGCGGTCAACATTACTTGGGCAGCCCACGTCCAAGAGGCTGTCAAGTTTGCATCCCAGCACGACTTGCGCATCGTGATATGAAACATGGGGCATGACTTCTCGGGCGGAGCATGGCAGTGGGAGCTCTCAGCATTTGGGTGCACCACCTCCAGAAGATCCAGTTCCACGAGAGCTTCAAATGCGGCCATGGTAGTGACCGTGGCTACTCAGCAGTAACGGTGGGAGCTGGAATTCAGTGGGAGGAGCTCTACTGGCAAGCATATCAACGAAAGATGATCCTGGCTGGTGGGGGATGTTCCTCGGTTGGAGCAGCCGGCGGATACCCTCAAGTTGGCGGCCAAAGTTTCCTTTCCTTGCTAATCGGCTTGAGTGCCGATAATGTTCTCGAGTACGAGGTGGTGACCGCGGATGCATGCCAAAACACGGACCTGTTCTGGGCCTCTCCGGGGTGGTGGCGGAGGAACATTTGGAGTTGTGCTCTCGGCAACGCACAGGACTTTTCCAGCTCTTGGCAGCCTCGACTTCGCTCCTCACAACTTCAGCACCCCCAATACCACCACCTTTCAGGGGCTGCTCACTCTGTTTACGAGGTTGAATCCCTCTCTGTCCGATGCCAGATGGTCTGGCTACTTCTTCTCAACGAGCCAGAGCCTGACGCTAACGTTCCTGCTGCCCAACCGGAACGTCTCGTATGCTTCCACCACCTTGGCCCCGCTGCTATTGTACGCGCGGGAGAACAACATCCGGATCGACGGGAGCTTGGAGACGTATGCCTCGTACTGGGACTGGCACTTGCAGTTTCAATGTGGAGGGCAGGAATCGTGCTTGGGCCTCAACAACTTGGGAGTCTCGGATGTCTTCGCAACGAGGCTGATCCCGAGATCGCTCTTCAACCACGAACAAGACCTCCTCCCAAAGGCCATGATGCGCGTCATGACCGAGCTGCAAGTTCCAGCTACATATGCGATCCTGGGGGGCGGAAAAGTGCGAGAACCCCAAGACAGCGCTGTGAATCCGGCGTATCGCGACGGACTGTGGCTGCTCGTATCGCCCCTGACTTGGCGGGACAATGCGACGGTGGCGGAGATGAGGGCTGCTGCGAATCTAGTGTCGCAGGCGAACAAGCTCTTCATCGATCTCACGCCGGGCTCCGGGACTTACGTGAACGAGGCCGATTACAACGAGCCCAATTGGCAACAATCCTTCTTTGGGAAGAACTATCCTCGCCTGTACCACATCAAGCGCAGGGTCGATCCTATCAATCTCTTTACGTGCCATCACTGCGTGGGTAGCGAATTCAACTGAGAATCCAGTGAAAAACATAGCGATTCCATACAAATGTTGAAATGTTACAGTAGCGATTCATTGATTCAAAAATGAAAAGCTAGGGTTCATGAGATGGGGCTCCTTGGTTTCGTTCTTGGGCTCTGAATTGCCACTCTAGCAGCTGCCAAGACGGTGAAGCGAGACGGTGAGTCGATCCTCTCCACCTGCATTTTCGATTTAGCCAGGGATTAAGCGACGATCTTGCCAATTCCAGTCAAGGTCAGCTGGAGGATGGAAGGTTATGTACGCTTGGAATGGGGAGGATCCCTGTGGGGATGGAGACGCGGCATTGTGGCCGGGAATCACTTTTTCCTCCCCAAATGACGATGGCTATCGAGTGGTCACGGAATTGTGAGTTTTAATACCTCTTATCACTTTGATCGTCACTTTCTTCTTCTTTCCCAGGGAGCTCTTTCAAGTGTCGATCATTGGAACGTTCCCGATCGGTGTCACAAATTTGCTGGATCTCAGGAAACTGTGGGTTGGTGTGTGTTGATTTTCGTTTACTGAGTTCTTGCGTTCTTCTCTGGAAGGGACTTGCATGGCAACAAACTCACCGGACCGATTCCTCCTCAAATAGGACGGCTGGAGAACCTTGTAACCCTGTAATGCTATTGCCGAAAAATTCATTCATGAAGAGAATTGGTCCATACTGCTTGGACAGGGCCTGCCATGAGAGGAAGGGAATTCCTGCGAGATGACGGAGGTGTCCAGGGAGGGGCAATCCATGTAAGCAGCTTAAGGCGCAGGAAATATTTCCTTAAGGCATAAGAGCAAGCAAGACCCATAATTGTGAATGTCTAAAATTTGAGAAGCAAATAGCCCTTGGCAATTATATGCTTGCTTCTTTGAGACTTGTTTGAGATTGAATTCTAGTCAGCCACAACTTTGACGAGTGCCACACTTGAATTGACTATACAACAATCTTTCAAGTCATTATAAATGGACTCAAAGAAAAATCTGTGGTCTTAAATAGGCTTTAAAAGATCTTAAACAAATTTTAAATCTTTTCGCAAACTTCTATATATGTTTATGATAAACAATATAAAAATTTAATTTATAGAAAACACCACTACTGTTGTTGACTCCTAAAAGTTATATACTAATACTAAATTTATTTTTTATATTGTTAATAATAAAAATATATGATTGCAGCAACAAATGGACTGCCAATAGGGCAGTAGTTTCAAGCAAAGGATGCCCGCAAGTGCTTGGAGTGAATGTTAAAGATTGGTGTATCGTCTTCAGGAATGCAAGGCCAAGGAGATGTAGCAACATATAGTGAAAGCAGCTAAAGAGCTTGGAATCATGCAAATCTATGAAGGGGATGTCGCTTAGTGATTTCTTGAGGCTAGAGGGCCTAGCACAGGATTAGCTGGCAAATGATTGGTTGTTGGGGACAAGGGACACAAGAGTTTGATGGGATATAGTGGGCAAAAGAAATGCATAATCCCGTGGCACCGCACCCTAAATGTTTAATGACGAACTCTAAATTAAATGTTGTTAATGGATATGTTAATGACTATAATTTTATAATTAGCCAGTGCTATAATTTATAAGTATATAGGTTTTTCCTCATTGATTCTCTTTAGTATTATGGCAGTATTCTTTTCTTATTGAAAAAACTAATAGTAAAGTAAATTCTTTTACTTTTTGTATTATGGTCTTCTTCCAAAAGAGAGAGAATATGAAAGATGTCATCGACCAATGAAATATCAATCTGATAATCGGGGTTGTAAAGATATTGCAATACCACAAAATCTCTTAGAATTAATACTTGGTTTACAAATAGTAATTTCACATTTGCTCAAATGCTTGTTGGTGCATTAAAATGCCACAAGATTAAATTCGTATTGAGTGTAATATTAAAAGTGAGTACATGACAACAAATTGATACAGCTTTTGTCATGATATTTGTGTTTTCACATTACGATTGGCTTCTGATAGTTAGCCGCATTCACAAGCTCAGACAAGACGCCACGCGTTTCTCTCATTTGCACCTTGAAACGACTCAATGCGCTTGATGGTAAAAAGCTCTGTAGCACAAAGCTTCCTCATGCTTTTCCAGTAGTCGCCATAAAGAACAAAACCAATGTCTCAGAAGTTGTAGCTGTACTCCCCCATGGTCAAGTATGGCCTCGATGCAAAATTTGCATCCTGGATCTTTAGTACCTCTCTCACTAGCTCCGAACTGGAGATCACCACAGCTGGTACCATTCCCAGGCGTAAAAACACAATTGGTCCATACTTTGTGGAGAGTGTCTGGAATGAAAGGTGTAGCATTCTTCCCAAGAGATGCAAGTGACCGATAAGAGGCAGCCCCTGGAGGCAAATTAACAACGCTTGAAAGATAGCACCAAGAGGAGAAGAGTGATTAACAAAACAACTGCGTATTGAGCAACCTCCGTTTCTGATTGAAAGTGTCAAACGTGACAGCCTGAAGGATGAATTGATGATCTATCCATAAAGCTGTGGTTGCATCTAACAGTACATGCCAGTGGTTTTCACTTGATATTTTAAGACGTATGTTCTGCTGAACTATTCTGATTCACTTACAATGGATGGTCCGCTTAAAACTTGGTGGTCCAAAGGTGACGGTTTTATGCAATTTTTAGTCAAGATATTTTATGGAGCCTAGAATAGCAGCTTCTATGTTGAAAGTCGAAGTGTAGTCTTCATAAACATCCCATAGTCTCATGTTGACCTCACAAAGACAATGTAGATTATAATTATGTCTTAGTTTTATTATATTCTTATTTTTCTTCAAAGGCTGACAATTTGATTAACATACCACCGAGCTAAAAATATTAAATATTCTGACTAGACTAAGAAGGACACCTGTGAAACATGCTGGTGTGTAATCTAGTTTACAAAGTAAAGGCCAAGAGAAAAATAGCTGGAAGTATACCGATTTTCATATCAAGTTTGATAAATTTTGGATCTGGTTGAGTTTGTTTGAACTTGCCACCACGTTGCAACTTTTCGGGTCCAACACGATGATGGTGCGCTTTGGATCCAGAATCCAAGTCCCACGAAACGTGCCTCCACCCAGGGGGTTATCCATGCCATGGTAGCGGCTGCTCGCATAATGGAACACCAGATTCGCTGGGATTGTGCAGGAGAGAACATCCAGGAACTTCAGGAAAGCTTTCTTCCCATTCCGGGACGCTGGCAAGGATATCGCGGTAATAGATGAATTCGTCTTCCTTGTCCTGGATCATCCTGCACGTAGTGTTCACGGCGTCCTGAAACGTCTGCACGCTCGGATCGGTGAGCAGCAGCACGGCCGGAAGATTGTTAAACTTCTTCTTGTAAAACTCCTTGGGAAACGAGAAGACGTCATTCACCATCCACATATGATCGAGCATAGCGTTCTGAGCCCTGATGTAATCCAGGGACTCGACATCCTCATCGTCAAACGAAGCACCCATTGCGTAGATGAGTGGCAAAATGAAGACGTTAGTCCTCCGGTAGAGCTCGTACTCGTGCGTCAAGTCGTCACTCAAAATGCTTCTCGCCCAGCCCTCAACAGTGGAAACCGTGCGCCTGAACAGCTCCGGCTTAAACAGAGACCTCAAATCTTCCATCAGATCGTGGCACGCTCGATAGGCAAGAATGTCCGGAACTTCCGCGAGCGATGCGGTTCCATAGCAGAGGCTAAGAAGAGTGTCGAGATACGATGTCGCGAGAGCTCCCCCAGCAACCTCGTTGTCATCAAACGGATCGTCCAGGAAGGCAGTGAGCCAGGCAAACTTGGCCGATGCCAACATGTTCGCTTTCGGAGCGTGAGGCGTGGAGAGGCACGTAAACATTGGAACTTTCCACTGGACCAGGCATTTCTTCTCCTCCGGACTGAAATCCCTCCTCATGCATTTGAATGCCCACTCGTTTGCTTCCTTGGTGATTGACATATAGTCCGGATGCCTTTGGAAAGATAGAGAGCATGGTATCTCCGGAAGCTTGAAACTCGTGAGAGCAAAGAGATGTTCTACCGCTGGTAGCTTCTGTAAACACGGACTTGCCATTTCTTTAGAGATGGTTTCGAGATATTTCAGAGCTCTTCAATTTATATTGCTAAGTTTCACTTGATCATGCTGTCTTGCTTGGACTGACTTTGATTGTGCAGGTTGAACCGGTGGTTGTCAAATCACACCTGGCAAAGAATAGACCGGTCAATTATTCACTGAAAAAAGGACTACTCTCTTTTGTTCTGAGAGAATATAATGAATGAATGAATAAAATGATATCAAGACGTCGTTTGTGGCGTAATTCAACATGGGGTTTCTAGCATGCGCGATTGCTCTTCATCTATGTTCTCGTCTGGGGAATTCCAGGTGGAGGGCACCGCCGTCTCAACTTGACAGTTTTCACCCAGTGGGTCTCTTCCATTGATCGGACCTCTTTGGGAGGAAACCCCATCTCTCTCTCCTTGCACTGTCCAACAAGTATGGACCGATCTTCTCTCTCCGGCTGGGAATGGTGCCTGTGGCGCACAGCTTCCGCATGTTCTTCCAGTAATCGCCGTAAGGCGCGACTCCCATGTCAAGGAAGTTGTAGAAGCTGTACTCCCCTGGCATATGCAACGTCCTGGGTTTTGAAGAGCTCCTTGGCCAGATGGGCGCTCGCGACCACCACGGAGCTCTTCACAATCAGGCGCATGGATTCTTTCTTGTGGGTGCGAACAGAGGAGCTCCGTGAGATGCTATCGGCGCTCTTGGATTCTTCTCTGGATTGCAAGCCCGTCAACATGAGAGACATGGTCATGACATGCCTGTTCAATGTGGTCACCCGGATCTTGATGAGCAAGAGGTTCTACACGTTTGTGAGAGACGAGGCAACCATGGATGACTATCAATCTTTGCCTGCAGCTTCTTGAGCCGTGGGATCTTCCAGCCGATGCATCTGAGCCACCATAGTTGCAGCTAGACGTGCAAACGTTCAAACGCGTCCACGTTTAAATGCCGTTTAAAACGTTTTTTTCAGGACAATCAAACGTTTACATGTTAAAGCCTAAAATGATTAAGAAAACACTAATATTTACTAAATACACTTTAATCTGATATTAAGTTTATAAAACCCAACCAAATAACATACTAAAACAAATGAAAGAAGAAGCCATTTTAGTCGTCTTCCGATTCCGAATCATCTTCCATTCCTTCATCGATGCTAAACTCCTCAGGAGCCTGATTTGGTTCCTCAAAAGCTTCTTGCAGATCCAAAATCTTCTTCCAATGAGGCTCCAACTCCAGCTTGTCTATATCAATCTCCAACATCCTCAAACCTTCACTCTTCAGCTTCTGAGCAACCCGCAAGTTTGTGTGAATGTAAACCAGCTTCTCAGCATTTTTGGGAAGCAAGCGGGACCTGCGCTTTGTTTGTATCAAGCTCCATGAGCTCCAATTCCTCTCGCATGGAGAAGCGCAAACAACCTAGCTTAAAATCCAGAGAGCCATGCGACGTAGATCAGGCATCTCTAAACCAAAAGAACTCCACCAAGTTACTGGAAACTTTCTGGTCTCCCGATCCTTGGCAACAGGTAACCTCATTTGCCGTCCAAGCTGTTGCCGAAACCTCTCAAACTGTGCCTGCAATCTCAGCTGCAAGTCCAGCTCACCTCCGCTATAAACATGCATGTACTCCAACCAGTTCCCGCATGCCTCATTGTCCAGCTTGTCGTTCTCTGGGTTATCCCCCAAAAACAGAGGATGAAGAGCAAAAGCAGCTCCATGAATGACATTGTGCATTTGATACCACCTTGCCTCCTTCAGACCGTGTGATTCAAGTAGGAAATCCTTGATTTGTCCCACTTCCTCATGTGCATAAATTCCGTTTCGAGCTCCCTCGTCCATCTTCTCGATCAGCCGATCAACAGCTTCAAAGATGAGGCCTGAAGTCGCCCCCTCCCGATCAGCAAGTTGAAGAACTCGAAGTAAAGGTCCAAGCAAAATTAACAAATTCTCGCACCGCTCCCAGAACGAGTCATTGAGAACACAAGATCGCAGCTCCAGGCCCTCCGGCTTCTTAGACCAGTCAAGTCGCTCCCATTCTTGGCTCACCACCATTCTTCGAAGCCCGGAGAGATTCGTGGTTTCCAAAAGCTGAGACATCACGAGAAAAATATAAGCAAACCTCATGGTCACAGGCTTTATCAGGTCCCGTTTGCAGAAAGTTCTATAAAGAGCTAGAACCCGTGGTTTTGAGGTGATGAAGGTAACTATCTTCACACAGCCATCGACGAAAGGCTGCACCCAAGACAGAGCTCCAATATCTTCGAACAGCAAGTCCATAACGTGGCAAACGCAGCGAACGTGTACAATCTGTGGAAACTCCTGCTGCAAAAGCTCCCCCATGACCACACAGTTGCTTGCATTGTCTGTCACCACCTGCACAACGTTTTCCGCACCAACCTCGGCAATCACTTGTTTCAGTTGCTCAAACAACCATGCTCCGGTTTTCTTCACATTCTTGCTGTCCACAGCCTTCAGGAAAATTGAGCCTCTCACAGAACTGACCATGAAGTTGATAAGAGACCGCTTCTTGATATCAGACCAGCCATCCGTGACAATGGTACAACCATATGTCCTCCAACTTAGCCGCACATCTTCAAGCCGCTTCTGAATGTTGTTATATATTCGTTGTAGCTCAGTTGTCCGCAACTTCTCATATCCCATGAGGTTGTCAATCGCTGGATGCCCCACTTTTGCGGCAACTTTCAGCATTCTCTTCAAGTTGTCTCTTCGGATTGTGTTGAAGGAGATGTTCTCGGCAAAGAAGAACTCTGCAACAGCATCATCCAGTGCCTCAGCCGAAGCAGTATCAAAAAATGTCACCAAATTTCCATCCGAGGATCTACGTTTCACTGCTCTGCTTGTCCCAGCACTGGACCAGTTCTCTGTGCTTGCCACCATAGATTCTGCTGGCCCCCCTGAACCCTGTGCGGCTTGCTGCAGCAGATGCCCATCATCAGCATCTGCTGGGTCTGCTAGCTCGAAATCGGAAAAACTGCTGCGAGCTTTTTTAAGAACTTCATAAGGGATCTCCCTCATTGCCTTGCACGTTTTCACACCTCTTGCCCGAACTCCAGCGAGATGTGCTCGCACTCGCTCCGCTCCCCCAGTGTGAATCTCATGACAATACTTACATGTCCAGTGCCACTCTGCTCGTATCACATGCTTCCAGCTCCAGCATTCGCGGCGTCCTCCAATTCCTGACATGACCCTGAAGAAACCCTAAAGAAACCCTAAAGAAACCCTTGTTTCTTTTTGCAAATAGTGCAAACGTGTTGGGAGTTTAAAATGGCGTTTTTTAACGCGTTTAAAATGTTACGTTTTTTTAGTTTCATACGTTTTCCGGCAACTATGTGAGCCACGGTGGGACAAACTCGCTGATGTGAACCATATTGCGAGGACAGTGTCAAGGCCAATAGCATGGTAAGTTCTTCCTCTCGTGATTTGATGTCTCTTAACTATATATGCCAGGAGCTTATATCTGGTGGAACAGACACAAGTGCTGCTGTGATCAAGTGGTCAATCCTGGAGCTCCTTCACCACCCGGAGATGCTAGGAAAAGCTCAAGAAGAGATGGGGAATTCTTGCCTGGTTGGAGAAGACAACATTGTGCAGCTCCATTATGTGCAAGTAGTGATCAAGGAAACCTTTTGCCTCCATCCTCGCATCTGAACTATAGGAATATTCCAAGAATATTTTATGGCTTGGTTTAAATATAGGATATAAATCTTAATAAGGAGTATGGTGTTAGTAATGATGGCTATAACAAAGAGGAAATTTTTTTTGATGATGTTGTGTGGAAAACATTAAAGAGGTTAAGGATTCTATCAATCTCATTAAGGATTTTTTACTTCACATATACCCTTAAAGTTAAATCAATCTCGTGTCCGTGATTACCATTGGTATGTCAAACATGCTAATAATTATAGTATTGTGAAATGAAAGTTGCTACCACGTGTTTGTGACACCCAAGAGGTTAATTTTTGGTCAGAATTGTGGGAAAGTTATTAGTCTCATAACCCTTATAAGGAAAAGGTGAAGATTGACTTTTTTGTGATTAAACTTATGGATTATGCTTCTTTGTGGGGAAGAATTATATTAAAGCTAATTTGAAGTCAACTTCTTGGAATAATTTGACAAAAGTTTTCTACACTTTGTTTGTCAAGAAATTTGAAGAGATTGATCTTATGAACTAGTGGCTAAAGATTAGGTAGGGGATTTTATCTTTGAATGCATATACTAAGAATTCTGTGATCTTTACCTTAGTTTCACAGGCATCTATAATAAACTGCTAAAGGTGTAATATTTCATCAAAGGTTTAAGCTTGGTGGATGTGTAACAAAAGGTCAAAAAAGATTTTTTAGCAATGTTGACTAATGCTATTACTGAAGCTCAGATATTTTTGCCTAAACTACTTATCAACTCAGTCAACTATGGTCAACATAATGGTCAACGTGAAAGTCAACGTAATAACATGCTTCATATTTAGGGAAGAAAAAGCTATTGCTATATTGGGGCTCAAAAATGAAAATGGCAATAAAGTTAAGAAATTTAATTTAGACCAACAAAAGAAGAACATAATTATTTTCATTGTCACAAGGCTCAACATTAGGGTAAGAATTGTCCTCTTGCAAAAGGGTGAAGGTATTGATGACATTAATTATACTTTTATATGAATTTAAATTATCAGTTTTTCCAATATTCTTGTTGTCAAAAGGATTTTCAAGGTTGTTTTGCTCATTGGCAAGAGTTCCTATAGGAAATGTTTGTTAAAATTTAATACAAGCATAAAGGTGACAATAAAATGGTTAATACATTATCTAGAATGGTAAAGTCCATTTGGTTTGTAAAGCTGTCCAACAATCTTTTAGATGAGTTTAAAGAGTTTATTGACTTCAGCTCCTTTATCATTGATATTTGTGTGAAGGTTTTGTCGAGGGACGCCTCTACAGATTTAAAAGGTTATAAATTTGCATCATTTCTGAAATCCTAGTGAAAAAGGGATATATAGTGGTTCTTCGTGTTGACAAACTTCATTGAATGGATTTTGATTGAGTATTATGATGTGACAAGTGCTAGACATCTGGAGGTACTAAGAATATATCTGTTGGTGCAAAGGTATGTTTTTGGCCTGAGATGAAGTTAGATATTAAGAATTATAAATATGGTTATTTGACCTGCTAAGCAGTCAAAGTTGATCATTAGAAGCTCGCTAAGAATAAGTGGGATAGCATCTTGATGGACTTTATCATTAGTTTACCCAAAACTTTTTAAGGAAATGATGTTATTTAAGTTGTTGTGGATTTTTTTATGAAGATGGCTCACTTTTTCCTAGTAAAGATAGCAATTAAAACTTTTAAACTTGTTTAGTTATTTGTAAGCTAATTATTCAGTCCCATGTTCATGTCCAAGTTTTGGGAAATGGTATTTGAGAAACTAATATTAAGCTGAGCATAAGTAGTTGTAAACATCCACAATCAGATAGGCAGACAAAACATATGAATAAGTTGTTGAAAGATATGCTAAAGTCTTTTATAGGATATTTGACTTGTCAAGGAGTATAGAAGTACTTGCCTTTACTTCAATTTACTTATAATAGTGCTTATCAAGTGGATAGTCTAAAGTTGAATTGAGCTCAACTCAATACAAGTCAATGCCGTTAACTAGAAGCCTTATAAAAGAAATCTAAATTGAAGAAATGAAGGTTCTAACAAACTTTAAAATATTGAAACATAGAAATACCTTGGTCAAAAGTTTTTATTGGAATGAGCCATTTAAAAATGAGAACCTATCTTTTCTAAAGCTATATTATTTTACTATGACCATTGTTACAGCTGTCATATTTTGATTTAATTACATATTTTGAATAATTTTACAGCTAATATATTTACATAATTTTCCTTCATTCGAAAGTTTTTTCTAGGATTCTTGAAAATATGGAAAGAAAGGAAAACAAAAAAATTGTAAGTAAGAGTTGTAGTATTAAGGAATGTGAAAATGTTAACTTTATTTCACTATCACAATCTCTATATTACATTTTTGATCTTTATTACCCATTCTGGAGACCAATATCACTATTGATAAAAATGTTTTTATTACTTCTGAAACAATAGTCAAGAGCAAGAGAAATGAAGAAATGAATAACACGGTGGAGAGCACAAACAAATCTACTTTATAAACCTTTTCATGAAATTTTTAATTTATATAATAATTTATATAAAAATCTCCACTTGATTGATTATATCCCAATCCTCTCATATGAGAAAGGCAAGGTATATTTTCACAGTGAATCCCCACTAAGAGTTTTTGGGAGTTGTTTTTGAATAATAATAATAGAAATTGAAATCACTCAAAAGTAATCATATCAAAGAATCCAATCTATCTACATTTCCAAGATTGAAAAGTATTCTCATATAAAAAAAATGCTAAAGTGCAAATATACCCCACCATTATAATGTGGTCTATAGTCCTAGAAAGGTATATATGTAAAAAACAATATATGCTTAGTGGAGTATATTATCATTAGAATGATAGAGCATTTGTATACATGATAAGTTAGAATTCTAGAACCTTTTATGTTTGCAAGTAAGCTATGATTATGAAGCCCCATTTTCAAGATTGACACTTCATGAATCTAAGTATTATTAGTGTCATAATAAATAATCTTTCCTAAGACAAAACTTAGTATATAAATTAGCAAGAGAAGTTATAGTTGCCATAGTTCTTTTGTTGAGCTCTTTGCAAAGCTGAAAGGTTTACATAAAAATGGTTGAAAGGAAAGTCATTGCTATTCGTACTTGATCCCCAGTATTTCATATTAATCTCCACCTCATCCCCAAGTTTTACCAACATTTCAACTTCACCTCCACATAATAATCCTCTTTCTGTTGGGGGCTTTAGTGAAGCTAAATTAAAGCTCCTTATATATGAAATTCTAGATTTTCTTACTAGAAAGGGATTGCCTTTAGCACTTCAAGAGTAGTGCTATATGTTTTTGCAATATTCTACTCCTGACACAACAAGATAGTTTGAAAGCATAGAATGTTATTATATTTGATGTTCAATATACTACTTTTTTTTGGACAAGACAAATGGCTCTATAGGTCTATAAAATTTTCTTGAGCATTGTAGCAATTTCCCAATAATAAGTTTAGAAAATATGCACGCATAGATGTATAATAAATTCAAGAATGAATTACAGATACATATACACACTATCACTTCATGGTGAAGAATAACATCCTCTTGGGAAACATTGCATTGGCTAGTGCAAAATATGGGGTTTTCAAGCCACTCTATAGTGGAAATGTAAGATCTAGGATTGCTTTATTGTTTTTTTAAAAGACTATATATATATATTGAAATGATAATAGTTATAGATAACATATCTTATTCTAGAGTGGAATATCCACTACAAAATGATTACAACAAATAAGGTATTAGAAATGTAATATTCAATTTAGGAATTACTTGAAAGAAGAAAATGTGTAGGCTCACTTGCCGGCCTTCAGATCAACGCAATAGTCATTCTAATTTAATGGGAATTAGTGAACACATTGAGAGTTTGATTCTAAAGTACCCAATATGCCTTTTTGTCTTGGGTCAAAAATTCATTTCTATAGGTTTCAATAATTTTCTTGAGCACTGCCACAATTGCCACACAAACAATATTATCACTTCACATATAATTATTTATAAGATATTGAAAGATGAGATGGCAACACAAAAGTGCTATAGAGTGATGGTGATAAGCAAGAATGACAATTTGCAATTATGATATCTAACACTGACAGTGTCACTGACATTTGACACTATCATAGACATTTTATAACACTGTCATTGACATTTGATATATAATAGGTTTTTTATTTCATATAAGGATGCAATTAACTTTTTCTTGCCTCATCATCAACATATTGATTTCTTTTATGCCTCCTCCTATATTGGTATTATGGGGAAGATTCACCTTGCATTTATTGGGCAATGGTTTTTGCATAGTCGGGGAGACTTCTAAAGCCTCTAATTCTAAAAACTCTAAATGATTATGATCTATAAAATAGAACTAAGTATGTATTGAAATTTTAATAAACATAATTTACCTCCTTAAGGTTGTAGGCAGCTCACGAAATCCTCTGAGCTGATGTTTGAAAAAGTCAATAACAAACACCCATTTACCAGAGACATGTGGTGCCTCCACCATAGAATTG